ATTCGCAGTGGCGTTTGAATGCGATGTGGCCTATACAATGACTTGCGGGGGCCAGCCGATGTACAAGTCAGTGTTTTTTTTATCCTCCCAGACAAGTCTGGTACCAATTAACCGACCCCGGAGGGATGGAAGGCTTGGTTGGCCCGGGCGACTCACGACCCAGGATTTGATCCCCGGACCGCTCGCGTGGTAAGCGTGCCACTTGCCACTACACCACTTCCGCCCCTTATGTCCTTAAGGGGACATTTAAAACAGGGCATTCTAAACCGTTGGTAGGTGACACTAGGATAAAGCCAGGATTGAAATAAACACCTGAGGAACAGTGGTTGCTCACATCCTCTCCCAGAATCCTTTCCCCTCCCTAAGGACTTAGTCCCGAGTTCTATGAGTGCCCTACTCACTTCAGTGTCCCCCTAAGAACATTAGCGCCCTTAACGGCACATTTGGAAATATAAAAACGGGTAATGGGGTTCACTCAGAAAATTGTAGGTAATGATGAAGTTGTCAACGAACAAAAAGATGAGATCACTGGGAACTGAACTTCCTGTGAGTCTGGATGTTTTCATAAAACACACTGGGTGACGAGGAGAGAGAACTACAGACAGAGACGAGAGAGCGCAACGGAAAGCTAGACAGCAGATACAGTAACGGTGGGTGTGGGTGATTTCGGTTCAGTTTCAGGACCATGGTTGCAGGTTCCCTAGTGCCCTCTCCACGCATTATGAGTTTGGAAAAGTGACCAGCCTTGAGAGTAGCGAAACCCAATTCACGGAAGGGATTGGTCCAATGAACAAATCGCGCCTTTGAAATAACCAAAGCAATGGTCAGTAGTGATCCGTTGAAGAATGATATCCTGGGACTTTCGATGTTTTCAAGAACAATTTAACCTTTTGAGAAAGCTAAACGAATAGGAAAACGTGTTCTTACTCTTCCAATTTATCTGAACATCTGAATTTCATTTGTTCTGAAGGAAGCTCATTCAGGATGGATGGCACCGACATTGTTACGTTTCGAGAAAATGACAAGGCTTTTCGATTATTTGGTACGAACGTTCATGTAAAGGTGAGAAATGAGGTCAATAGACCGTGAATGAGTGAATGGGCAGGACATTATTCGAAAGAAAATTCTCTAAAATTTTATGTTTTAATTTATATTATTATTTTGGTTTTATTTTATTATTTCATTTTCACAACACACACAACCGCTTAGCCGCTTATATATAGTAGGATTTATTAGTCGAGACTCCGACAAATTTTACACCCACTCATTCTCGAAGAACAAAGATCCCCCTGCACATCGCAGAACTTGACCGACTGCAAGCCTCCTGACCGACTGAATGGTTACCCACCTGGACCAGTGAGGGGCCTGGTTTTTTTTTTGGTTAGGAGGGCGCAATCTTGGGTTCCTTCTAAGCAACATGGTATTGCACGCTAAACCTACCTGAAAAGGAGTAATAGTTATTCCGTAGTTGACGTTACTAATACATAGAAGAAAAAACCTCCAGGGAGCGGGTTCGATAAATTTGTTCCACTTTGTTTCCTACAAAGGCGAGTTCGTACCATTACGAGAGGATGTAGCCGCGACAGTTCCTGCCATTTACAGTAAATACTGCTTCTTGAACCCGGACAGCAAGGGTGGCGACGGGTGAACAGCGAGCGCATACAGACTTACGCACACCTGGAGCTCCCTTTCCTAATTCGAACATTGAAATTACTGAAGGCGGCGTCAAATGGTGCACCACTTATTGGTTAAAATATGATAGAACCGATGGCTAGTAGAGAGGTAAACGAAGAGTTTAATCATTCTGAGGAGGGTTTCGTGGAGAAAGATGCAGGAATAGGCCGTATAAAGCGCTACCCTTCAAGACTCTCCCTTCTCTTTCCCTCACCCCCAAATACTCCTTCCCAGCCGCAGTCCTTTGGGGTCCGCGCTATAGCTTTTTTGGCAGCGTAACGGAGTTCGACTTTGACGATAACAGACGTCGTGAACTCGCCCACCACCCACAAATCACGTGAAAGTTTGAGGGTCTCCGTTTTGCGGAGCCTCTCTCGTTTCCATATTCGATTCCGGCGACTAAATTAACGTACCCGCTGCTTTTAGGTGACTTGCAGTTCTTCTTCTGTTCTGGAGGTTCCCACCTCAATCGATTCAGGGGCACCACAATACTTTAGAAATGACCATACATAAGAGATGAAGATATTAATTCGCCCCTGAAAAAATTCAACAAAACAATCGACACCGGTTTTAAAGTAATCAATAGGTAAACGAGCGATTGCGAAACGTCATCGAAAATATAAAGAAAAATTGAATAAGGAGTAATTTATCTGAATAAGAGGGGGGATTCGAGCGCCAGTTACCAGCCTTCAGTGATCCCAACTCCTGCGGAGGGGAAGAGCTTTGCAATGACAGGTGTGAAGCAAACATAAAGCGGATCCATGTTCCCTCAACGAGCTTATCGCCTCCAGCAAGAAAATGCACTGTTGAAAATTTTGGACACCCAGCTAAAGGGCGTGGCACGAACTCCGCATAAGAAGAAATACGAGAACATTAGAGCTGTCCTTCGGATCTTCTATCCTTTATCATAGACTGCTTGTTTTTCGAGATACAGAACGTATTGGAATCAGCTCGGTCACTATAGAGAGCCATAAGGCTGATTGTTCAGGTCGGCGCCTATATTGCTGGTGTAATCGGGTTTGCTGTGACGATAGCCTTCTGTATAACGTACACATTCTATCATAGCAGAGGCATGGGACGAAATCCGTTTCTTGATCATTTAGAACTAGGTAAGTTGGACATTCATTCATTTTTTATTCGACGCAGTACAGTACATAGTGTGCACTCTAAAGTCACTAGCGCTCCGCCCTATAGTGGGCGAGGCCTCATGCTCGCAATTGTCTAATTTTGTGTCACTTTGGAAACAGCGGGTGCACTGTGTTGGGAGGAGGGCTCATGGAGAGAATTCCTAATTGGGAGGGCGGTCGGTCGAAAAAAGATAATTCAAAATTAATAAATTATTTACCACCAGTACACAGGGGGGGCGCAGAGAGCCTCACTCGGAGCAATACTTTTCATTGGCTAGCGTATTTTATGCTCACGTGGCTCCAAACCACACCCTGCACATCTTGAAAGGAGTAATACATGTGTCAGGTCAAAACTACCCCACTTTTGTGGATCCAGCTCAATTTGAAATTAGGTTTTACGAAGTTAAGCTTGTTGAAGATAACCAGTGACGAGATTTCCGGCTAGCAGCGTGATCTATCTGTGTATCACCTGCATCAACTGTCGTCCGCTGATCATCAAATTGCTCGAGTGGTTCGTCTCCATTCGTCCCTGTCGCGTGCTAGAGTGGTCCAGTGGATCCTCCTTGCTCGAGGGACACGAAGTCCTCATTCCTTTCGTTCAGAGCTTTCGTGAAGAAGTCTGACCATCGGGCCGGCGGTCGTCCAGGTGTTCGTTTGACGTCCCGAGGGATCCAGTCGGTAACCGCTCTGGTCCAACGGTCATCGCAAAATCGCATGACGTGTCCGGCCCACCTTATCTTCGATTCCTTGGCGAAAACGGCAGCGTCCCTGATCTTCGATCGTTGGCGTAGTTCGGCACTCCGGATTCCCCTCTGCACTTGCGTGTATAGGGTTACTCCTAGCATCGTCCTCTCGACAGCGCGTTGGATAACGCTGACCGCATGCTCGTCCTGCCTGCGCAGAGTCCAAGTCTCTGAGGCGTAGGTTAGGGCAGGAAGGACAGCGGAATCGAAGAGGTGGGCACGGAGCCGGATGTTCTTCGTCTTCTTCACTACTCCCTCGATGTTCTTAAATGCTCCCCATGCCGCTCGTTTCCTCCTGCTCAGCTCTGGAGCTAGGTCGTTCATCATATTGATTTCCCGACCTAGGTACACGTAGCTGGAGCATTCGGTGATGTTCGTTCCGTTGAGCGTGAATGGGGCATCAGGAACCAATCCGTTTTCTCATGGACATGTCCATTCGGCTTCAATCCCGCGCAAATCTCTGCACGCATGGACTTCTTTCCCCTTGGTTCGCAGCATAAATGATTACCGTCGAAGTAAGCCACAACGAAGAGAAAGCTCTGCCCACCTGGAGCTGGAGCTCCCATACTTAATTCATCAGTTTGAGTTTCAGACATGTTGCTTCGCTTTTCTTTTTGTTTCACAACATTATGTAGGTAATGGCATTTCCAGTCGACCTGATATTCGCATTCACTGTTGGTATTCCTTGTCACATCCTACTTATTCTGGGCCATCGCTAAAGAAAGGCTATTCTTCAGGTATGCTTTTGTGTAATTTGATTTTGCGCATCAAACCACAAACCAGTTCTATCACCCCTACTATTATTTAACTTATGAGTTATTTTGTCGTTTTTAGTCCATTTTTGGTGTTCTATTTGACGAACTTCGCTTTGAATGTGATTTTCACGGTGATCACGGTGATCGCTGCTTCGTTGGATCTTCATCGGCAACTCTTCGGCAACATCAAATACGATCTCGGTTGGACGGCTTTTCAGGTATTTTTCTTAGTCCCGTTCATGGATAATGCTTTACATGATGCTTGAAAAGTGATGCTACAGGTTCTTTTGTTTTCACTTTTTCATCTGCATGCCAGCCTAATCGCTGTTACTCTCATTAATAAGAATGCGAGCCGCTCATAGAATAAGACATAAAGGGGTCATAAAAGGGCCACTCAGCGCATAGCATTGTGCAAATTCGGTAAGTACCCACCGGATGTTGGTCCCAAGCAGAGTCCCGCCGTCACGTGTACACACTCAGCAAGGCGGGGGGTGTCACATATTTGGGACTGATTCAGAGGAAGGGACCTCCCCTTTGAGTCAATGTGTGTGGGCGATGTGCGAAATGGTGTCGTTTTGAATTTGCCGAGAAGGTGCGTGTGAAAAGTTGAAACGGAGTCGTTCGTAGATGAGGGAGAGGGAATGGAGTCCGCTTGACGGGTTTTCGACTGCGAGCAAATCAGGAACGAAAGCGTGAAAGTAGAAAATCTTCTCCGAAAATATTTATACGAATCTCCCGCTCTAAACGACCGGTCCCGAAGAGGAAGTGGGCGGGAGTAGAGTGTGTCGACTGGTCTCAGCATCAAGTACTTCAGAAACGGCCATGGTGGTGACGTCTTTTGATGTAGGTGATGTAGGCGTGTAGAGGCTTTCTTAGGGAGGAGGGGAAGGTTGCGAAAGCGCTGAAATCGCATAACGGCACGTTTGCTCGCTTTTGAGAGCGGCGCACCACTCTGGGGTCGGTCCTATCGTTGTTACTTTCTGAAAAAATTTTACGACCCCCCTCCCCCAAGGTGGATTTGATACGACCCCCTTTTCGACACCTCGACCACCATCATCGTCTCTATAGTACTTAATTCTGATACCACTCAACTCACCAAACCCCGCCCACTTTTTCCTCCAAAAATGCCGTCGAGCGGGGGGTATATAGTCACTCTGAAACGGTAAATATCTCCGAAAATTTCCTTCTATTTCCACCCCATTTCAACCCATTTTTTACCTATACTCCCACTACTTCCTTTTCTAGGGGGTATATACGCCCGCTGAAACGGCAAATTTTTATCCTGCGCGCCCTCCACTCGCCCAGCCTACTACCCACGAAATCTTAGTTTCACCTCAATCCCACACGTGATTTCAAGCGATAACCCACCCCCTTGTATCTTTTTACCACGATACGGGTTGACTACCTGGCGCACCCACTTCGCAGGTAGCGCTGAGTGCAAGGCCGTCCGCTGTGCCGATTCTATTGATATAAAAATTTTTACGACCCTAATCCTGTTAAGGGTCCCCGACACGACCCCCACTACCCATCGGCCTTGGGGATCCTTCCGTACTACTCCCTAACCATCCTTTCCCCCCCACCTTCTCCCAATGCCAGCCCCTCACCACCAGCTGTTCTATAGTCCTCGATGCAAGAATACTTCGAAACATTCCGTCCGAAGCTCCTCGCTGCGCGCGAAGGCTGTTTGGACGGCGGGGATGGGGTGAGACGTCTTAGTTTTCTCTATTGCTCGCTTCCTGAAGTTTTTTTGCGAGACCTCAAAGGCCGTCAAAACGAACCCCTCTACCGTCCCCCCACTGCAGTGAGCCGGGCTTCCACCGCTACGATCCCATCTAGAAATATTAAAACAACCTTTCAACCTACCGTCATTGATATGCATATGCCAAGAATACTTCGCCTTCCCTCTCACCATCTAAAATCTCCGAAGAGACACCCCGCGCCCGAACTTGCTACACGTTGACCCATCTCCTGGAGGTCTCAATTAAATCTGAAAGTCTGGCTCACGTATATTCTGATCAGGGAGGCTTCCAGTTGTTTGTTAACACGTTGACGACAACGCGTGTTTTGGGCTTTTGCACCGCGTGGGACCAGAGCGATTTTGCAGGCGCCGCCGCTTCACATAAAATCCGTGAATTCTGAGCTTTAACTATGCAAAACCCGGATGCAACAAAATGTTTCGAATGATATTTGATGTATCAAACTTCTCAGAAGGAACAACTGTAAAAGTTCAATCGAATGGACGTTTTCTGGCAATGAAAAGGCAATTTTCAGTAGCTCTTGCTGTAGTGGACCTCAAAATTATTTTTGACTCGGTTGCTTCACTAAAACTTGTATCTTGCTATATGTGTAGGTCTATACTTGCTTTTACTACTCTTTTTTATGACCGAGGTTGTCAGAATTTAAAGAAAACTAGGAATGAACACAATTGGGAAATTCGTAGGACTTGGAAAACCTTCGCTAAAAAGGAGCATATTCAACCATTCGATGAACCTTCGCCGTGTCTAGTCATATTATGGTGTGGTCTATAGAATAGATGCAAAAAATTAGAAAAGAAGTAGCGCATGCGCGAAAAAATTAATAATTTGTGTGTGCAGCGCATGC